TATACTCTTTAAGGTATCATAAACAAATTCCATGTTTTTTTCTAAATAATTCTTATATAATGTATCATAAAATATGTGCAAAACTAATTTATCCTTAACATATTAATATTTCTTAAAATTTAAAAACCTTTGTACATCTTTGATATTTCACTCTCTTTGCCTATTATTTCACAATAACTTTCTTTGTTTATCACAAATATNATCATAAACAAATTGCATGTTTTTTTCTAAATAATTCTTATGTAATGTATCATCAAATATTTGCAAAACTAATTTATTCTTAACATATTAATATTTCTTAAAAATTTAAAAAACTTTGTACATCTTTGATATTTCACTCTCTTTGCCTATTATTGCACAATAACTTTCATTATTTATCACAAATTTTTTTACCATTGTGATACTGATGATAAATCAAAAATCATGTCCCATAAAATAAAATTAATTCTATTTTGTAACAAATCAAAAAATTATTTTCTAAAACTAAACAACTAAATGACTTTAAATCACAAATTGCATGTTTTTTTCTAAATATTTCTTATAAAATGTATCATCAAATATGTGCATAGTGCATAACTAATTTATCCTTAACATATCATTAATATTTATAAAAAATTTAAAAATCTTTGCCTTACTCTAAATTTTGTATAATTACTTCTATATATTTATTTATATTTTGTCAATAACACACTTGTCTCACAGGTTTTTTACATTTTTTTATTCCTACATGTCCTTCATGCATCAAAATTAATATTTTAAATTTTAAACTCTGCTTCCATAACTTTATGACCTACAATAATTAAATGATCAAATACATTAATTACATCTTTAATTTTTTAATAATCGATTATTACCATTAATATATTCTTCTGTTTTTCTGGCCAACCCTGATAATGTAATTTGATTATTTAACTTAAAACTGAATCGTCTTTTGTTGCCTTTCTTATTTTCTCTTTCGCTAAGCCTGATATTCGCAACGATTCCTGAATTTGATGCGCTACATAATCTATGTCCGTTTTGTTTGTGTTTTCATTTTTCAAATATGTTCTTCATATTGTATTTGCTATACACTGATTTTTTCCTGACAATTATTTTAAATTAATATCATAATTAATGAATTTAGGTAAAATTCTTCATGATTTAACTGACACATCATTTAAGTTTGTACCGAAGGTGATCGGTTGTAAGACAGTGGTTCAAACGGATGGTGATGCTAATACAGAGGGGCGGGTAAGGGCCACTTTGATCATTTACCTTCGGAAATTGGGATTCTATTTCAAGTCCAAAGTACAAAACAGTCGGCTGCGGGCGGGGATATAATGACATCGGTTCCCGTCTTCTTCTTTCAGTCTTCAATCCTTAGATTGGTTTGCTGCAGTTCTCCATGTGACTTTATCGTTACTTAATTCCTTTAGTTCCTTATAACTATTCTTCCCTATGTCAATTATGATTTGCTTCGTGTACTCCATCCTTGGTCTTCCTCTTCCTATATGGCCTTCAAAGTCGCCTTCTAGGATGGTTTTCGATAGACTCTCATGGCGTAGTAGATGTCCTATCATTTTAGCTCTTCTAACTTTTATGGTATGCCATAGTATTTTCTTTTCTTTTGTTCTATTTAATACTGCTTCATTCGTTATTCTATCAATCCATTTAATTCTTAACATTTTACGATAGCACCACATTTCGAACGCCTATAGTTCTCTTTTCTCTATTGCACTGATTGTCCAGGTTTCACAGCCATATAAGGCAATACTCCGTACATATGTTTTTAAGGACCTTTTTCTTATCTCTAAGTACATACTAATGGTGGTTAGTAGGTGTTTTTTATTCAGGAAAGCCCTTTTCGCTTGCGCTATTCTACTTATTATTTCATCTTTACAACGGCCATCATCCGTTATTTTACTTCTCAAGTAATTAAAGTGATGCACTTGTTCATTGCGTGCGGTATCTATATGTATATTAAGTAGAACCGGGTTTGTCTTGCTGCACGCCATAACCTTTGTCTTTTTTTTATTTAATCGCATTCCATATTTGTCCCATAATATTTTATTGGCCTNGCGTCCTGTTAGGCCAATACATTAACAGGCCCGCGACAGGACTCGGGAGTTCGCGAAGACCCTGACCACTATTTTTATCACTATAATACTACTATAACCGCAATACGATTGCACTATTACCACTATATACTTATCGCTATTACCGCGACTAAACTACGCCGAAAAGAACGGAGGCGGAACATATCGTTTCTGCGGCTCCGTTCTCTTCCGCGGTCTGAGAGTATGAGCCAGGCAAAAACGGGGTTATCCGCCGATTCTTTCGGAAGACTGACATTTCCGTCCGCCATTCCTATACACCTCCGGGGTCGGTGACGGGGAGACACGGCCGTAGGACACGAATCCCACGCGTTATTTATACAGGTTAGTTGTCTGGGTTTTAAATGCCTGGGAGCGCTTTCTCGGTTTCCGCCGGCGCAGCGGCCGGTATACGGTTTTCTACACTCGCACTCGCAGACGCGAGGTACACGTATACGTACAGATAAGGTGGCGGCGCTGGCGGCGGCCTTAATAGATAATAATCTGAATCTAGAATGAACAACCCTAACCTCCCACTCCCCTCACTCTCCCCTTCATTGCATCCGAACCAGACAACTTTCTCTCCCCCATATCCCTTCAAAAAAATACTACAAACGATTATTATGTTAACACGACGTTATTATTAACAATATTTTAAATAAACTAATTGTATAGACGGGGAAAACGGATCTTTCGAGCGAAAAGAGTCTTCCGAGGCTCTTTAAAACGATCCGCTCAAAAGACCCGTTTGCTCCATTATTATAACGAAAAAATTTGTCCACAGGTTGTAAGAGAGAAAGAACGAAAGAAAGAAAAAAACAGTTACTTCGGAGAGTCACGGTGCTTAAATTGCAAAACTATACCTTGTAGCACAGTAAATATTCGATTAAAGAACACGGTGTGGTTATTTAAATAAGCAAGTATGGGAAAAAAGGAGAGATTAGGAATCAAAAACGCAGAAGACGCAGTATTGTAGAACGTGGTATCCGAAGAATTTATAAGTCACGAGTGTAACTATACTGTTGTTATTATTTGATATATTTTTATCAAACGTCTGATTTTGCGTCTTTCAATTAGAACAACCAAATATCTATTGTCCCAATACGTTTTTGCTGTTTAGTGCGAATAAACGTGTGTAAAAAAATACTCCCGATTAATTTTAGGAAATTATGTCTGCTTCGTTTTTTTCTGTCTCTTCATTTTGTGTTTAACTCCACCACTGTCTTAATTTCTTTCAGATTTCTCAACACAATATTCTCACCATAACCCTGATCTTTCTAATGATTTTTTCCATGTATCAGAGATGAACAACTCAATGTTACAAGAGGGCTAATTTTGTATAACTTTTAAATCTAGCGGGCCAGAGAATAAGCAAATGAGCAAATAAAAGGTCAATATAGTTTAAAATTTACAAGTGACATTTGTTTTTTATATTTAATTATTTATACATATAGTATTTATTAATTAATTTGAAAATGTAGCACGGGCCAGTAAAATATGGCGGGCTACCAGTTGCCTATTCCTGCCTAATAGGGTCTTCCTCAGCCACCCGTTTAACTATAAAGATAACGGTTTACGCCACTAATAAACCGCCTATGCATTGTGAGTTTTTATTTCGCGATCTTTATAACTATTATAATGTTTTTGACATAACACAACAAATATGGACTAATTTCTGTATAGTTTTTATACGTAGCTGTTGAGAAAAATACGAAGTACATAGTATGTAGTATACAAGTATGATATTCATGGTTTTCGAGAGAATGTTCTCCCGATATGGCCCCATATAAGATTATCCAAACCAATGAACGGAGAAGATTTCACAATAATGAAAACATTATTTATTTGTAATATTTATATATAAAACAAATACTTTAATACTTACGAGATTTATAATTAAATTTACTCTACAGTTATCATTACACCAACTGGTTGTCAAATACGTAAAACAAAAATACATTAGTTTTGTTTTAATTGTACATTTGCGTATATTATAAAATAAATCATACATTTTACAGTGTAAATCATATATTTTATTAAATAACGTTCCAATGTTACTTTTCTCTAGTTTTTTTAGCTTCGACAAAAATACATATTATATTTTCATTTGCAGAATATGTTACTTGAAATTTCGAAAATAACATTAATTTCCGTCAATATTTCCAATAAGTAACTGCCGTACGTCATAACTTTTAGGACATACAATATTAATTTTTTTTTTTTTTGTAAAAAGATTCTGAGCAAAGCTTAGAGCGTATTGATTTTACTATAAATTCAAGGTTGAAACGTATAATACAGTAATGCACGAAACACGTATTATACGTATGTATGAAACGTATAAAAATTATACAACCATAGTCTGTCCCAGGAGAGAACGGTCCTCTCTCCGACCAAATCGAAGCGCTACTGCGCGTCCCCAAGCCACAACACTATCCATTTATTCCCTCCCGGATCTATCGACAGGTTTTGTACACTGTGTTTCAAATAATGCACTGTTGTCTGTCAATAGTCTACTGTTTATCGCCAATATGACAAAAATGATAAATTGTAATTTTAACGAATAAATAATGAAATGTTTTAATATAATTATTTATTATTTATTAAACCTACTGTATCATATCTACTGAATTATACCTACAGTGTTCAATAAGATATCAAATCAATAAATATGTATACAAAAAAAACAGTCTGGATTATTATAGAAGGTGCTTGTATATACGATAGTTTACGATTTGAAAAATTATCAAGAGGTTATAAAACAGCAAAGGTAAATAAACGTGCGATGATAATAATAACAATTGAATTTTTACAAAATATCCTAGCGGTGTATAGTCATAAACCGACGACGGAAGAAATGACAATCGGCTATGTGGAGGGAAAAAACATGCGCAGAAGCGGACCTTTCTCCCCTGGGACAGACTATATTAGTTTTATACTGTACACAATTTTTTTTTTTTTTTTTGGCTGTTATTGAAAAGAAATTATCAGTTAAAATAATTGTCAATTGAATTTAATCTTAATTTTATATATCTTATATTAATTACCTAAGATATATATGATAATTTGTTATGCTAACTACTAAATTCATCTCTATTCTTTATTAATAACTACATTAATATATTTATAATTCCAAAAAACGTTGTTGAAATATTTATGCGATAGCTAATGTTTATCGCAGCAGTCACTCAGAAAACATCGCATAGCTGTTCCAATGTAATGTTTATACCACATGAAAATGTAACAACTCGACAATATTCCCAAATAACAAACAAAATATTAAAAATACGAGAAATAAAAACGCAAACAATCTGAATACAAATCTACTATCCATTTCATGTATATATAAGTTAACAAATCAATTTCAAAATATATATTATGTATGTATATACAGTGACATTTCGAAATTGTGCTTTTTAATTTTAATTTTTCATTTTAATCTGCCTACGGATATGTTATAATATTATACATTGTATTGCGCTGCAGTGATATTACACCCGTATTATACTTGGTTTTTCGCGGTAAATGTCCGACGAAATAATTTCCGACAATGTATACGTGTATTTATCGTTATACAAACATGTACCGCACGGTAAAACAACAAGAGGATTTTTTTTTATGCGNACAAAATACGGTGCGTTAGAAAAATGTCGTCGCCGAGATGAAAACTTTGACAGTTCTCAAAAACAGAGAATATCATCGCGGCTTCGAATAATCGTTTTCCCCGCAGATCTCTTCAGGTTTCAATTGATGTATTGTCCACGAAAGATAACGACGGTAAAATNGCGCAAAAAAAAAATACGGCGCGTTAGATAAATGTCGTCGCCGAGATGAAAACTTTGACAGTTCTCAAAAACAGAGAATATCATCGCGGCTTCGAATAATGGTTTACCCCGCAGATCTCTTCAGGTTTCAATTGATGTATTGTCTACGGAAGATAACGACGGTAAAATAACATTATAATAATGTAGGCTATACATAGAGGTGGTCGATTTTGACTCATTTCGATTAGTTTGATAACTCTCGGAAAAACTTTCTATATACATTAGGGTGTTTCTAAAAAAAAACAAAAATCAAATATTCAACACTATTTCAGCTTAGTAAATACGTTCTTGAGTTCCCCCGTGACGACGTAAAGTTTCCTATTTAACAAAACAATGTATTATTTTCTTAAAGGGGAATAAAATAATTAAAATACATCAGGTATTCCATGTCACTTTCTCACTGATAACTATTAATTTTTAGCATAAGACAAAAATTCTACCGTCATTCAGACACGCACATATAGGTACACGTCAAAATAATAAACGCGTTTCTCGACGAGATATTTAAATTGGATTAACCACGAACGGGAAAATCGGTATTATTATTAATTTTGTTTTTCCTAAGACGATTCTCAGTGTGCAAAGATATATTCCACACATGTGCATACGATGTTACACGGGAACCTGGAACATTACATTTTAAGTTGAAGTAACGTTGTTGAAATATGTATGCGATAGCTAATGCTCAACGCAGCAGTCACTCAGAAACCATCGCATAGCTGTTCCAATGTTATGTTTATACCACATGAAAATGTGACAACTCGACAATATTCCCAAATAACAAACAGAATATTAAAAATACGAGAAATAAAAACGCGAAAATTCTGAATACACAGCCGGGTATCAAATTTGGAACCCTAACCTAATTAACGTACCGCCTAACCTACTAGCCTACACCTACCAACTACAAATCTACTATCCATTTCATGGATATATAAGTTAACAAANATATTAAAAATACGAGAAATAAAAACGCAAAAAATCTGAATACGCAGTCGGGTATCGAATTTGGAACCCTAACCTAATTAACGTACCGCCTAACCTACTAGCCTACACCTACCTAACTACAAATCTACTGTCCATTTCATGGATATATAAGTTAACAAATCAATTTAAAAATATATATTATATATATATATATATACAGTGACATTCCGAAATTGTGCTTTTTTTGACAATAAGGATAGTTTACACTTATGACTTACCCTATGATTCTTTGGGTCAGCATAGGGGAAATATCTGTGGGGGGGTAAGGTTAATTTCAAAATTTCGGACTATTTTGGGAACAGGGAAATTTAACTCCAAGCTGAACCACTACTGAATAACGGTCATAAGTGCCCTAAATAAGTGGACACGGGGGGCACGTGCACTCCCCCCCTCCGAGTTTTGGTATTTTATTGGTTATTTATTTTGGTAGGTATAGTCTAGTTAATCATTTAAAAATTAGGTAATATAAAAATGAATAGTGCACCCCACTAAAAAAAAATTTCTTGGTTACGGTACTGACTCACCCTTATACAGTGATCAATCAACCATGAGATACTAATTATCTCGGAGAGTGTTTACTTTTTTTAGAATTTTGACAATTTAAGAAACAAAAACAGCTCTTAAATGTTACATACTTACATATCCATTTTTTTTATCAACTTTGTTTTTAGGAGTGAACGTTTGAAGAGGCTAGGTACTTAATTTTTGATTTTTAAATGACAGCCTATATTGAAAATGCCACATATAGATGGAGTATAAGTTTAAAAACATTATTTACTTCCGTAAAACTGTTGACGAGATAAGCCACTTGTATGTGTTGGAAGGGGGAGAGTTGTAATAAGGAGAGTAGAAATTGTTGAACACATTTTGATATATGATAACAAAATCAATAAATTAAAATTAAGTATAATACCAATAATCAATATTAAAGGTAATGTAAGTAGGTACCTATGTATATATAATTATTACTAACTACAGTTTAATAAAAATTAATTTATTCTATATTAAAATACTAACCAATTATGAATGATGTACATAGTACATATATTTATTTGCGACTTTAAAATGCATTAAATTATATTTTTACATAAATATACTATTAAAAAAGAAAATGAAAAAAATATATATTATTCAATGTAACAATGTGTCAGATCCATAATAATAGCTTTAACTGTACTAATTGAAATTACAAAGCATTTATTCTTTATTTCATCAAGACCTATTGAAAAACATTCAGAATATTGTTTATCTGCTAAAGATGAGCCGAAAACTGAGAAATTAACAGGGGTCATATAAAATGGTGAAAACTTTAAAATTGTTTACACAATTAATTTAATATTGGTTGTATGGTGTTGCTTTACAATGTGTTTCACTCTGACAATATAGTTATTTTTTAAACTTATATATTTATCGCTTTCCTTTTCAATCATTTAAAATAATTTCTTTGAAAAGCTTATCAATTAGATTAAAATGTATAGTTGATTTACAATTTTCTAATTCTTTTTCACATGTTATAGAATATTGTGATTCTATTAGGCTAACATTTTTTGTTTTTCAATAAACTAATTAAAAATTTCTGGAAGAGGATATCTAGAACATTAAATGGAGAATTTCACATATTGTAATTAATTTTCATAATTAAAATAAATGAAACTGTCTAATGGACCATGCATTTTAACAAACATAGGGAGATGCAATAAACTGTGTATATTATATGATATTAGGGGATCTCCATATAAATAAGAATATTGAGAAATACATTTTTTAAAAAGTGTTTCTGCGAATTAATTTTGGCTAATATTGTTTTTTAATAGTTTAACACCAGAAACTAATAACATAAAATGTGTATAAAATGATTTTTTTAATTTTTCTTTTAAAATTACTTAACCAAAATAAAGCAGGAAAAAGCTTAACTTGGTAGCTTTCCAGTAGTCAATATCATCCAAAACCTATGGTTGGCGGCTAAATTCTGAAGGTACATAGGGCTTAATATCTATTATGTTTTTTGATATATTTAATTTGTCTTNTTTAAAATTACTTAACCAAAATAAAGCAGGAAAAAGCTTAACTTGGTAGCTTTCCAGTAGTCAATATCATCCAACACCCTTGGTTGGCGGCTAAATTCTGAAGGTACATAGGGCTTAATATCTATTATGTTTTTTGATATATTTAATTTGTCTTCTTCCATTAGTCCAACATCTTTCTTTCCTTTAACCCATAATTGAATAAAACGTTTTATAATTCCAATACATAAAAGGTGCATATAATTTAAAAGTACATCTTTAATAATATCTATATCTAAGAATTCAAGGGGACTGTCACCTTTATAGTATTCCTCATAAACTTTACTGCAAAATGAGAGATTTGTTCTAAGAGGTACATCAATCTCAGGAAAAGTCATTCTATGTTGAATGTATTCACCTTCATGAGTACAAAATGAACACCAATAATACGCATTTTGTCCTAGCACATTCAACAAAATTTTTTTAGCAAGAGTATCACAGATTATATGTCCTATCTCAAATTTAAATAATTTATTATTTACACACAAACTATTTTGTGATACTTCAAAGAAATCATCTAAAAATGGTTGAAAAAATTCATTGACAGATGCTGGTTTTGTTAATCCATGAAATATCCCACCTGGCAGTACATATTTATTTATTGGTTGGCAATTAATGACTGAAATTTAAATTGGCCATAGTTGCCTTTTTGAACTATTTGAAATTAGGAGACCATCTACATTATTACCCAAAATTAAAACGCCATCACAATTATTAATCATATTAAAATACTTTTTTAGTACTGGAACTAACATATTTTTTATTCCCAAATGAATATATGAGCCATTAACCACTGAAACTATTTCATGTGATATTTCAGGTGTTTTCATTAAAGTACACACATCTTGTGGTATATTTAAGACTTCCTCTTTTAAAATATCATTAAGACTATTAGTAGCATTATGAGAGATATTATGTTTTAAAACCCATTGTCGCAGATTATCTTTAACATTAATATTGGGCTCTTGTTTTATACATGGTAATTGATTTCCAGATAAATTTAAATTTAAGTTAGTATTTAAAGAAGAGAAATTTGCATTTGATTCACTTTGCATTTAACTCAAACAAATATTATGAAATGTTAGTTATTACGTATTTATAACCTTATTGTTTATACCTATGGTAGTTTGTGTATCTGGAAGATTTGAAGCACAATTAATTTGTAATTGTATTTGAGGAGTTTTTTTCTTTTTCAAATTGACAAGTTTTTTAAAATATCTAGATTTTATATCGCCTAAACTTTTCTACTTTCGAGTAATTATCTAAAATAAGTCGAAAACAAGAATGCTATAATACTGTCAACTTTATTAAAAGGCACCAAAACTATACATTAAATAACAGAATATGAATAAATTTAATGAAACATATTAAAACAATTTTAAAAAATTTTAAGATATGCATAATTAAAATTGGCTATCTATTTAGTATTGTTTATGTTAATTTTACTGTGATCATAGTTTCTTTTATAACTTCTGTCAAAAAAAAAAAGGTTTAAAATATAATAGCCATACAACCAAATCGGAATGGAATGGGACATGTTTAGCGAGCAGATGGAAGATAAATGAAGAGAATTATAAGTGAAGAAATGGAAGGAACAAGACCACGGTGGACAGCATATGGGGACTATAATGGAACTTACACAATTACAATAAATAAACTAAAACATATCAAGGGATAGAGGAAAACGGAAAGATTTACCCTAAGCAGTTAAAAGCCTAAATGGCTCGTAAAGCTAAAAGAAAAAAAAACCAAATTCTACTNTTATAAATGTTCATACTTTTAATGATTTTGAAAATCTCAGAACTGCCAATTGCAGTTGTTATACCTTTGCCTCTTCCAGTCAATGTACATTTTTTAGCATGATTATTAATTAAACATTTTACCTAATATTCTTTTTATATGATTTTTCAAATTGCATCAACCAATGTTTTTTATAAAACACTCCTGTTCAAGAAGATAGGTATGAACAAATTGAATGAAAAATTTAGCTATCAAAGTTGTATTAATGTATTTATGTATATATTATTTCCATACTAGTTTATCTACAAATGATGTATCACGATCAATCATTTGTTCAACTCCTAAAAACATTATTGAATTTTACATAGGGAAATGTTCATAGAAAATTNCAAAGTTGTATTCAAAGTTGTATTAATGTATTTATGTATACATTATTTCCATACTAGTTTCCATACTAGTTTATCTACAAATGATGTATCACGATCAATCATTTGTTCAACTCCTAAAAACATTATTGAAGTTTACATAGGGAAATAGTCATAGAAAATTGAATTCAAAACTATAGATGAACCTGAATAATTCTATCTTCCAGTTTTAGAATTAATTTCGAGTAGTTCTAATTTAGATAAAATTCGTTATTTTCCTAGTATAATTATATTCTGATCTCTAGTTATATTGTTCATTAATTCCATCACACTAGACATACTAAGTTCTAGCAAGTACAAACAATAGTTATTTTTAAATATTGATTAAAAGTTGATAAATAGAAACTATTATAAAACAAAATATGTTTACCATCAAAGACTGGCAAAGAAATGAAGTTTGAACTTAATGGCAANAATAATTCTATCTTCCAGTTTTAGAATTAATTTTGAGTAGTTCTAATTTAGATAAAATTTGTTCTTGTCCTAGTATAATTATATTCTGATCTCTAGTTATATTGTTCATTAGTTCCATCATACTAGACATACTATGTTCTAGCAAGTAAAAACAATAGTTATTTATAAATATTGATTAAAAGTTGATAAATAGAAACTATTATAAAACAAAATATGTTTACCATCAAAGACTGGCAATGAAGTGAAGTTTCAACTTAATGGCAAACTGTGAGACTTTTATGTAGTTGATTCATAGCCCTAAACAAAGTAATAATACATATTTATTTGTAAATCATGACAGAAGTATATATTATATAGTAGGTACCTAAGTAACTATTTTTTTTTTTTTTTTTAGATAAAACACATGAATTTTTTTTTATTTTATATAAATGCCTTTAATATATATTGGGAGATATTCAAATCACATTGACTATAAAAAAGTTAAATATTATTTTATAATTTAATTTAAAATTATTAAACAAATCCGCTAAATTCATTCAATATATTGCTGAATTATTTTAAAAGAAAAACTTAGAATTAAATTAATTTAATAATATATTATATTTACCATCCGAGGAACTATAGTTGAATTGTTATTGCTGGATCATTTGTTAATTCTGTATACTGAACATTATTTGATGGCCTAATATGAGGAGCAGTTGAATTTTGAGAATTTAAATGTGCAACTTCAGTGTACATGCCAAAATTTGACTATGTTTCGAGTGTTTACACCATTTTTAACTGAATCCATGGGCATTAA